GAGGCAGTATAAACTATAAAGAATATTGAATTAATTTACTGATACATGTATAATTGATAGTATGCAGGTTTTAATAAAATTTTTTGAAGGTGACAGAACAATTGTGCTTTTCCCAATGATTATTAACTTTGGTCAGTTTAGCCTGCAGGATTTATTTATGATTCTGCATTACTGTGCAAAATGAAGATTTCTTATACATTAAAAAGTTAGTATATAATGATGATATGATGTGGAAAGGTTTGTTGTTGTTGTTGTTAAGTACCATTGAGTTAGCTGGGTTTAGAGCTGGCAATCATGATCTGAATCCTAGTTTTATCATTTACTGCTAGGTGACCCTGAGCAAGTTACTTAGCTACTTTTTGCTCTTGATTCCTCATCTGGAAGCAAGCATAATAATAGTACCCACTTCATAGGGTTGTTGTAAAGATAAAATAATAAATGTACAACACTTTGCCCAATGACTTATTTCTAGTAAAAGGGTAAATAGTATCTACCAAGCTTTTATTTTAGGACTATGCAAATTGTTACCAATCAATTAGAAAAATATAACTAAAACAGAAAAATGCACAAAAATACATAGAGTGCAGAACACAAAGAAAGAAAATTAGAGTTCCAGTGGTGCTGTAGGATAAGCACTGGACTGCAAGGTCGTTTTGAACTGCAAGGTGATGGTTCAAATTCACCAGCTGCTCCTCAGAAATGCTATACATAGTCGCTATCAGTTAGAACTAACTTGAAGGCACTTAAAACAACAATCATAAATAATCAAAGAAATGTAAATTATCATATAACAGTCATATAATTTTTAGTACACTGGATTGTTAATTTTAAAAAATGTTTATGTCCAAGGTTGGTGAGAATTTAGGAAACACTAGAGGGAGTGAAAATTGATATATCTTTCCTTGAGGGCAATTTGCATGTTCTTTAATGAAGCAATTTTAGGAAGTTATTCTAAGGACATAGTCAAATTGGTATATAAGACTAAATGAATGAGAATGTTTACCACAACATTTATAATTGTCAATATAAAAAATTCAGTTGTTTGTAGTTGTTAGGTGCTGTTGAGTAGGTCCTGACCTACAGGGCCCATGTGCACAGTAGAATGAAACACTGTCCGGTCCGGCATCATTTTCACAATTGTTATGTTTGAGCCCACTGTTGCTGCCACTGTGTCAATCCGCTAGGAGCGTTTCTGTTTTTCGCTGACCCTCCACTTTACCAAACATAACGTCTTTCTCCAGGGAGCGGTCCCTCCTGATACTGTCTGAAGTACAATAGGCACAGTCTCACTATCCAGGCTTCTAAGCATTCTGGCTATACGTCTTCTAAGATGAATTTGTTTGTTCTTCTGGAGGTCTATAGTACTTTCAATGTTCTTCTCCAACATTATAATTCAAATGCATCAATTTTTCTATGATCTTCCTTATTCATTGTCCAATGCTCACATGCATCTGAAGCAATTGAAAATACCACGGTTTGGGTCAGGCTCACCTTACTCCTCTAAGTGTTTTCTTTGCTCTTAAACACTTTAAAGAGGTCTTGTGCAGCAGATTCGTCTACACTCGGTTGATTTCTTGACTGCTGCTTTCTTGAGTGCTGATTGTATTTGACTGTGCAAGCAAACTGAAGTCTTTGACAACTACAATCTTTTCTCCATTTTTCATGATGTTATTTGTTAGTCCAGTGGTGAGGATTTTTGTTTTCTTTACACTGAGGTGCAACCCACACTGAAGGTTGTGGTCTTTGATTTCATCAGTATTTTTTAAGTTCTCTTTGCTTTCAGCAAGCAAGATTGTATTATCTGAATATTGAAGGCTGTTAGTGACTCTTCCTCCAATCTTGATGCCATGTATTTCTTCATCTAATTCAGCTTCTCAGATTATTTGCTCAGCACACAAATTGAATAAATATGGTAAAAGGATACAACCTTACGACTGCCTCTTGTTCTACATACAGCTTCCTCATGAGCAAAAGCAAGTGTTTTAGAATACTCATTCTTTGCAATGACATCCATATAACCAAATGTCTTTGGCTGCGTTCTCTAGAGAAGTAAGAAGTCCAACTGCTGATAACTCCTAGGATCAACAGGTAATAGATCAGGCCACTGGCTCAAGCCCAAAGAACCAAAGGCTGGAGGATGAGCCAGATGTAAGATCTAGACCCAGTAGAGAGCAAGAAAGCTTTGTCTGAGTGTTATAATATATTGGAAGCAGATTAGATCCCCAAGGAAGGTTCCCTTCAATTGATTGGCTGCTCATAGCAGACCTCATCATAGAGTTACTAGATTTTATCATGGGGGATAGCGAGAATTCAGTTGCCAAACCACCAAGAATCCTGACCCCCCAGTCAAATTAATACAAAACCTTAATTATTGCTGTCCACCCGTTGTCTACTTGGCACCTGTATTGTTAGGTTTTTGTTAGGTATTGACGAGTCAAATCCAACTCACAGTGATATTTTACACAGCAGAATAAAATGTTGCCTGGTCTTGCGCAAAAAATGACTTTATAATTGTCACAGAAAAATGTAAGCATGCACTGCAGTCCCTTGCTTAACCCTCTAGGATGGCCACTCTTAGCAAAATCCTCAACAGAACTCCAAAGCTGGAACCTCATCTCCCTTGCCTTTACACTCCAGTAACACTAGGCTAAACCAAGCTTTTAACTAAGCCAGCTTCAAATTTCAGTTTAAATTAAATGTCTCAAGGAAAGACATATTTCTCAAGAGCCTCTTCCCTGTCCCCCACAGGTTAGAAATCATCCTGTTCTGATCTCTAACAATACCCTTCACTTCTGTTTTTGTGGTCTTACACAAATGTTATTAAATGTTGTTTATACATTACTGTATTCTTAATGCAAATAACACATGACTTGTACATTGGCTTGCCAACTGCTCCTTCCACCCCGGGAGATATATTCGTAATACGTTGTTGTTCTTGTTTAATATGTTTCTTCCCTTAGAATTCTAATTCCAAGAGGGAGAAAACTGTCTCTGCTTTAGTCACTATTTTATTCATCGCATCCAATCTGGTACCTGACATAGGTGCCCAATGCATAAATTAAGAAAGATGAAATGACAATCAGTTTACAAAACATATGTGAGTCCAATTTGGTAAAAGGGACCAAAAACTCACTGGCCAGAATCAGACACACAATGGACTACCAGGCAGGCCAGTCCCTTCCCTGAGGGCCACAGAAAGAAATGGTGTACTTCTTTGGGCTGAATGGTGGGAAGGGAGTTTGTTACCAAGAGTGAGTTGGGTGAGGGTGATAGCCTGTTATGGTCCAGCCCTGTCAACTCCCAGCCCTGTCAACTCCCGGGGCTGGATGGAGCTGCCTTGTTGTTCAGGAGGTTGAGCTGGGGTGTTTTGAGGAGACAGGCCCCAGGCTGAGGAAAGCTAGGTGGTAGAGGCACTCAGCTACTGCTCGGAAAAAGGTTTCCCTGCCAGTGCAGCATCCAGGCGCACCCTAGAGGACATTGTGGGGAACCATTCTGAGAATGGGATTCCTTGCATACTGCTCAGCCAGGCTACGGCGATTGTAGACGGTCAAGAGATTTTGCTTAAGAGTGACAGCCCACCATGGGAGTGACTGTGTGGTAACTGGAGGTGAGGAGGTAGTGACACTGCTGCCTTCTCTTCTGTCAAAATTCTGACCTGGCTAGTTTATTAGTGATCCCAAGGCTCCCCCCAGCCCCCTTGTCAAATTCTCCTGCCACTTTGATCTAGAGGACAGATTCTCCTCTTCTATGACCACACCCATCCCAGATGTAAGACATCTTTCCTAGAGGGCAACTTGGCAGTACTAAATTTTAGCAGCCTCCCTACACCCCTTCTAGGACTGTGGGGGTTCCTTATTTACCTGTTCAGCTCCAGATCTAATGTTTGTCCCTGAGAATTCCCACCACGCTCACTTGACACACACCTCAATTCCCAGTCAGGCTTGAAGTGCTGGAAGAGCCTGCCCTGTTTCTTCTATAACAGAGTGATTTTCTGTGCTCTGTACTAGTAGGGAGCCCATTCCTGAGAAGCTCAATAAATACATTCTGAAGCAATGAATTCATCCATTTATTCATCTTTCCCAAGTGCAGGACCTCCTTTTGATGGAGTGCCATGGAGGCCCCAAAAGGTGACAGGGCTGGAGCAGGGATGTGTATAGCCCTCAAAGTGATTTTTAGAGTCTAGGCTTTATTATAGAGTTGGGTAAAAGGGTGCTATGGAAGGTTTTGGAGCAAGACAAAATTGGCTGTAACCTGTGCAAAATTTCTGGGTAAGATTAGATGGGAGTTAGACTGGAGGTGATGCATATAAATATATGATGACTGTGGTATTGGTGGGAATAGAGATTTGCATTTGAATGGAGTACATTCTGAGCCAGGGCAAGTGGTAGCACTTTGTCAAGGAGTCTAGGTTGGAAGAAGGACAGAGCTCATGTGTCAGGTATGGTGGGATGAGAAGACCAGTATGCGAGATGAGGTGCTCAGCTTTTGCCTCATTCTTGGGGTAGGTGACCAAGGAGAATGGACCATTACTCCCTACCCATTCCTGGCTCCTTTCATGGGAAGGGGCCTCTACCACCTTCCACTATTTTTAGTTTTGAGTTCAGACTGAAGTCAGAGAGAAACAGGTTGCAAAAAAGAGGAGCCAAAAATGAAAGCAAGTCCAGGGGATAGGGGTGGAGGACTAGAAGGCCCCCTTCAGGTAGCTCAGGCCTGGGCAGCTTGTGCTGGGCTTGTGGAAAAACCCTTCTCACAGAGACTAAACCCCTTGGGAGGCAAGTCCCAGCACGAATTGGGCTTGTGGGGCTGTGGGGCTGGGCCACCAGTCTTAACCCACTGTCCCTACCCCATACATGAGGCAGGAGTGGTATGTGCTGGATTTTCCTGAGCTGTCAGCTCAGGGAGCATAGACTCAAACTGGTCCAGCAAAGACATTTCTGTGCTGGGCAGGGCCAAGTGGGATTGCATAGGCCTAGTGGCCTGTGGCTGTCCCTGGTGCGGCCTCACTCTTCCCAAGGGCTCATGTCTGTGTCAATGGCAACGCAGTTGTAGGCAGCATAGCGGAGCTTCTCCTCACAAACCTTGGCGCTGTGGGTGTAAGGGCTTGGTCAGCACAAACTGCAGAGTTTTCTCCATCACTACACCATGGGATGGGGCTCCAGCTTGTACATTTTAGTGTCAGACATCTTCCCCAACCAAGGATGCCACCTTTCCTCCCTGCTTTCCACTCTCTAGTTCTAACCTAGGAAACCCACCTGGCATAGTGCGGTAGAAAGAGGGTGCTGGAGCAGGTGGAAGACTCTGGTAGTGCATCTGTAGTTTCATAGCTGGGGGTATAGAGGGACCACAGAAAAGGAAGAATTGTAGGGGCATAAGGCAAGGGTCACAGAGGGCCAGCCACAGCCGCTTCAGAGCTGAGCGCCCCTCAGCACTCACCCTAGCTTGTCTGGGTAGATGTAGATCCGTGCTGGCAGGCGGCTTCGGCCTGTGACAAAACGCAGGAAGCGGCTCCGGTCCTCTGAATGGAAAAGACAATCAGCAGTGGTATGGATGGTGAGGGAAGCTGTATAACGTGTACCCTGCCTCTTATTTCACAAGTGAAGTCCAAGGCACTACTCCACCCTCTTCCACTAACCATTGGTGAAGTTGTTCAGTGCCTCCCAGAAATACTGCACCCTCGTGTCAGATTGCTCGAAGTCTTCAAATCGGGCTGGTGAAAAAGAGTCATTCTTAGGTCCTGACCTGCCAGTCCTTCAGCTCCAACCCCATGCCCACTGCTCTGACCAGCCCCATCACTGGAGACTCACTGAGCTTGCGCAGTGCATCCACTGTGACCTCAGGGTCCCCGCATACTTTCTTCTCCAACTCTTGCCAGGTCAGCAAGTCCAGCACAGCCTGTGGCACCACCTTCAGCAGACCTGCCTGCATGGCTGCCAGCTGGGAAGAGGGGAGAAGGTCTCAGTTGGAGAAGCAGGTGTTAACTCCCAAGGTCAGTGTGGGGTAGGGCCACTTGGCCTCCACTCATGGAGATAAGTAGTAGACATGAACTACTTTGCTCAGCACTAGGGACATCGCTGTATCCCACAGATCAGCTGAGGAATAGTAGGGGCCAACGTTCTTAGGGTACCAGGGCTTATCAGTCTGGACTGTGACTACTAAGGGCTGGGACTTGGTAGGGTCCAAGGCTCACAGTTCCACCAGCCTCTGAGCAGTACCTGCTCCTTGCTCTCCTCTAGCCGCACCTTCTGCACCAGTTGAATGAAACGAGAACGGTCCTCATATCCCACCACGATGCCTGCACCCCCAGGGACCAGCTCCACGACTTGCTGGTCACTTAGTACCGTGGTGAATGTTAGCTCCTTTCCAAACTTAAATTCAAACGTCTCCTTGTCCATGCCTTCCATTACTTCTAGGAGCTTCACCTGGAGGTAGGAGAGCGGCGTGGAGTTCAGCTTTTCATTGTGGAGATCATTCCTGCTTTTCCTCAAGCAGAGGAGATAGCCGGGTAAGAGAGTCCCAATGCAGGACAGAGCTGTGACAGGACTGGGACAATGCCTAGCCACTTTTGGAGGTCAGGGACAGTGTCTTGGAGAACATGGCATCTAACATGAGACCCAGATGATAGCGGGGAGTCAGGAGAAAGAACACCCTGGAGAAAAGTGGAGGGAGAAGACCTGAGGAATCAGTTTGGTTGGAGCCTGAGCATGAACCAAGTGGTCAGAGATACAGGAGATATACAAGGCCTTTCTAGAGCCTGCATTTTCTCTGAAAGCCAGCTCAGGGCCATTGAAGAGTTCAAAATAGGATAGTGAAGTGAATTACTCTGGCTGCATGGAGATCACATGAGTCAGAATGAGAGCAGGGACACTAGCTTTGGCAGTAAACAGCCGGATTAGAAGGGAAAGTGGCTTGAACCAGGGGGATTATAGTGAGGATGGGAGATGTGGCTATATTCCGGATAGCTTTAAGATGGACAATTGACAGAATAGGGGACGAAGGGTGGTAGGAGTGTGGATGAAGGAAAAGGAATAGTGAAAGACAACTTAGAGGGTTCTGGAATGGGGAGGGCTGGGAAGTAAGGCTAGCTTAAGACAGGAAGTTCAGTTCAAGAAGGCAACAGATTGGGGAGTAAATGAAACATGTGCTGAGCTTGAGGTGCCATCTTGGGGGAACTATCCAGAAGGCATATGCATATATGACCCCAGGCTTAGGAGAAAAACTGAGGCTGGAGGTAAGAATTTGGCGGTCATCAGAAAAGAGATAGTAGTTGAAGCCATGGGAGTAGATGAGCTTGGAGAAAGAAAGCATGTGTGTGCTGAGAGAAGGTCTAGACAGAGTCCTGGGGAGCATCAACCTCTAGGGGCTACGCAGAGGAAACATGGCCTCCAGACTCTACTCACCAACACAGAGTCCACCGCTGGGAAATCCTTGCTCCAGCTCACCTCCTCACCAGAGAGCTGCTTCCATACAAAGCCAGGCAGAGCCAGGACCTGTGGAACAAGAATATACTGCTGCCTTCTCACTCTGAGTTGCTCAAGCTTGGCTGGCCCTTTCTTTCCTCTAGGACCTAGGGCTGCCTAGGTAGGAGTCCAGATTGAGCTACTCACCAAGAACTCCTTACCCCGAAGGGCAGCCCCCATCAGCTGTCCGATCCACTCGTACTTGGCAAAGTCTTGACAGGATGGATTGGGCACATACATGTCCCGGGCTTCACCGGTACCATTGCCCTGTCCCAGACACAGAGCTGTCAGCACAATAAGGGATGGACCCGATTTTGTTGCTCCAAGCTTCCCCGAACTGTGAGCTCTGAATGATCCTCTTCACATGCACAACAGCTCTTCCCACTGCCTGTCCAGAGGTTGCCCAGCGCAACTTGGCCCTCCTCTGCCCCCTCTTTTAGTTCAGCCTGGAACCTGGGAGCTTTGCAGTAGCAATGTGGGAGGTGTGGCTGGGAGATTACCTGGTTGGCTGTGCGTACAAAGAAGGGCAGAGGCACCGGGGTGTCCGCCGAGCTAGGGCACAGCTCTTCTGACATGTCAGCTAGGCTATCACGGAAACCACCTCCTGAAATCACAGATGCCTTTAGCTGGGCACTCAGGAGTTTCAAGCCATATGGGGTGATATCCAGGGCCCCTTTCTTGGCTAGCTAGTGACCCCAGAAACCTTTACCACTCTCAATAAGACAAGCAGAACTTGTCATCCTTCCTTAAGGCCTCACCTTGGTCAATGATGCCTTCTGCAATGAATTTACACTCCCACCACTGGTCATAGCGCATGGGCCACCTGCAGGGGTAGTGTTCTGTCATCATTCTGGGACCAGCCCAGAGACCAGCCAGGAGTCAGGGCTACAGAGGGATAAAGGTGGGGGGTACTTGGGGCAGCACACAGGTACATGAGAAGACTTCAAAACGTTTGTGGAAAAATGGATTCTAAAGATAATGGGATTTTTCCAACAAGTCTTTGAATCCCCCTCCTGTGTGTGCCTACATGTAGCCTGAAGAAGGCCCTCACCCAGATCCCATACCTATAGTCCAGGGGCTTCTCATATTTATCAGAGGGCTTGAGGCCTTCGTAAACCTGGGGGTGAGAGGCAAGAGGAAGTCTGTGTCAAGACCTGACCCCACTCTTGCTCAGAGATCTTACTCAGCTCCCTTGTGGGCCCTTTACTGATCCTCCCTCAGTCTGACCCTAGGCAGTCCAGACCTGAGTGAAGACAGCATTCTTGCAGGCAGGGTCCTTTGAGGGGCAGGCACGGTGCTCCATGGCAAGGCGTCGGTTGATGTATAGACGTGGCATGAAGCTGGGCTTGCTGCTTTCTGAGTCACGCAAGCACTGGGCCACCAGGCTGGGCCGCTGACGTGACAGCAGCAGGAACTGTTTCACTTGCTGGTGAGGAGAGGTGGCCAAGGCAGGACTGGTGGGCAGTTAGCCTCTGTCTAGGTCCTGGAAACTTCTATGCCTGGACCCAATTCCTCAACCCGTCCTTGCCTCCAGTTCCTCCCTTAGTCTAGCCACCAGGGTGACATTTTAAAACAAACAACTTGCCATTGACCTTCTCTTTCTTAAAACCTTCCCAATTGATCTACTGACCACGGACAAGGTCCCTGTTTTACAGCCTGGTCTACTTCCTGTCCACCTATTCCCAGCCTCATCCCTGTGTCATCCTGATGTGCAGATAACTCCCAGTATGTACCTGTCATGCAACCTGCCCTGTCCATGCTGTCACCGCTCCTCCCCCAGCCCTTGTGTATTCTACACATGCATCTGGGGAATAGCTCCCAAACACTACATTTTAACCACTTGTGTCTAGCAGCCAAAGTCTAGGCCTAGAATAGGTTTCAGGGGAGTCTCTGCTGGAGAGTGAACAGATGCATGAGCAGGAAGTCCTACTGCCCAGCATTGAGTGAGTCAGCTTACCTTAATCTCACTGAAGGTACCCAATGTGTGGTCCCAGGCAGGTACCAGGTGGTGTAGGACACTGTCCAGGATCTTTATGAATCTGGGTGGGTGGGTAAAGATAAAGCTGGCTAAGTTGGACATGGATATAAGCTGCAGAGCCCCCCTCCTCAATACACAGGGAGAGGGAGAAGGCAGGGCATAGCTATACTGTAAGCTGTTCCTTTGAAGTGAAACAGCTTATGGTATAAAACCTTAGAGGCCTCCTCCACACAGACACAAAAGCCCAGGGTGGGAGAAGGGAGTGGGCCTGGCAGGCCTGGGGCAACAGCCACCTCTGTAAAAGAACAGCTCTGCGGTACAGTACTTCTGGGTCAGTGCCTTCCAGGCGTGGATATCGCACCAGACTGGTGGGCTGGAACAGGTCTGCATTCAACCCTAGTTCCCGCTGCCTAGATGACTTGATCTTGACCCCTCGAAGACGCACGTCAATCCCATCATCTGAAGGAAGGGGTCAGAGTGCACTTGCTACCTCTTTGGCCCTAGACTTGGGATGGCACCTTACTGTTCAGTCTTTTTTCACCCTTAACACCTAGAAATTGAAAACCCCTGGGATGCCCTTCTACTCATCTGACCGTGGTTTATATATTCTTTGTGGCTTTTCTGTCTACCACTAAGATGTTGGGATCCCTGAAGGTTCCTCCTCAGTTCTTCTCCCAGGTGAGTTGCTATGGCTTCAAGGCACCTCCTTTAAAGTGTCTCCCCATCTGGCTCAAGTCCCTATGCTTAAAATCCTAGACTTACTTCAAGCCTGTCCCTTCTCCCCTAATTCCTTACCTGTCCCTTCTCTCCTAGTTCCAAGCCCATCTCCGTTCCACATGTACTTCCAGCTTGTCCCACCTTATACTCATACTGACCCCCTTTCTTCCCCACAGCCTCAAATCCTACCTCGGCATTCAACAATTCGGATCTCAATGATTGGGAGGTGGACAGTCATATCCTCCAGGACACAGACATCACCGATCAAGGTCCTGAGAAAGTGAGGGTGAGACAATTCAGCCTTGCCCCTTCTAGGCCTCCAGGGATTGTGGGGTCCCACTCAACCCTCCCTAGGTTGGGTGCCATTGCTAGGATCATCCCCATCCCCGCTCCCACAACTTTCCAGGACAGCCTGCTCACTCGTCAATGTTCACATCACTCAGCTTCTTCAGGTTGTCCCCTTCACCACCATAGACCACCACCCGCTTAGGCATAAAGTTGTCATCTGTGGTATCCACAGTGAGTAGCAGCTTCCTGGGGAGTCAGAGTGTGCACAGGTGTTTCTGTGCACCTAAAAACATGTGGCTCACCCAGCTTGTTGTATCCCAGAGCCCACTCACTTGACCACGGTGCCTTTCTTCATAGTAAGCCGTACCCAGTGTTGGCACTGGGACCCATCACTCTCCCAGTAGGTGTCTGCATTGCTGTCAGTCAGGCAGGTCACATTGAACTCCTCCTAGGGAGGGGCAGAAAGATGGCGTGAATGGTTACCCCTACTCCCTGCACTGGGTCAAGGAACAAGAGACAAAGCACAGTAGAGTTGGGCTAACAGAACAAGTGGCATGGGGCTGTGCCTAGGGGCTCCCTACAGGACTTCCAAACTGGGAGGTTGAAGTGGCCTAGATGTGGGGGTTCTGAATTTAGCCTTGAGGGATACGAGCTGCAGTACCCACCGTGTAGGAGGAAACGTCTATGCTCTCCACATACTGTTTCACGCTACCCAGGTTCTCATCCTCCTTGCCCAGGTGGTCGAACAAGAAGTGGATCAGATCCTCGTCGCACTCGTAGGTCCATGTTGGGGGCACATAGCTAAGTAATCCCAAGCCCCTAATTAGGTTAGGCCCATCCCGGGAGCTCCCTCCTCCCCCATCCTAGCCCAGCTAACTCACAGCAGCCTTTGTAGAGCTTCCGTGTAAGCCTCCGCCGGCTGAGGCTTCGATCCCAGTCGATGTGAGTATGTCAGGTCCACTACTTGCTCCCATCTGTGGGCATACCGTGGGAAGTAGTTTGGGGAGACTTCAGTAAGCAGTAGGACCCTTACATTACAACCTGAAATCTTCCCAAGAGCGATTCTCCAGACCACGCCCACAGGAGCCCCTCCCTTTCCGGCTTTTAACAGCGTCCACTCCCTCCCGCTGCTCCCGGGTCAGTAGTAGATTGGTTTGTAACTCCTCCTTGCCGGGGCATCTAACATCAAGTCCCACCATTTCAGGTGCAGGACCTGAGCACTGGCCGGTAGTCTACACCGAAAAGCTGCTGCTGCCGCTGGAGGTGGTCGGGGGTGTCGATGGGCACGAGACGGGCCCCGCCTTCCGCCGGGCGGCACACCAACAGCCATCCTTCGTCCAGCCCGCAGTCACCCAAGTGCTCTGCCAGCTGCTCCTGCCGGAAAGTACCAGGTGGAGACTGCCGTCAGGGAACGGCCCAGCCCAGCCCAGCCCAAAGGCCACTGAGCGCAGTGCAGGGCAGGGAGGGGAGCAGGGACAGGCCGGGCCGCACCTTAGTCAGCTTCACCCAGAGCCCGTGGCCGTTGCACAGCTCCTCTCCCGTAGTGCGTACGCAGGCGCCACGCCGGAGCTCGATGCTGTCGCGGGCAGCGCGGAGCGGCCCGGAGCCGGTACCCGGGGCAGGGCCGGCGGCACCCACACGCAGCCCCATGCCCTCTGCTTCCCACACTGGCAGCAACACGCGCGACGGTCCCGCCGGGTCCTTGTAAAGCTTGTACAGCACCTCACGCGGCACGAAAGCCAACGCTGCCGGCAGTGGCCGCCCGGCGCGGAGGCTCCGTGCTGCCTCCGTCAGAAAGCGAACGCGACCCAACAGCTGCCGTGGGGACTCCAGCGCCGCTCCTGGGCTCGGGCCTGCCATGGTGAAATGACAGGAGATCCCACAGTTGTTCGGAACCTTAGAGCACCGGCCGCACAAGCCAACTAGGCTTCCTACCACGCCCGGCCCCGCCTCCGCCCTGCCGTTGCCGTATGTTCTGGATTATGCGCACTGTTTTTAAACCTAATTTTCACTTCATTGAAGTTATCGAGAAATAAATATAATTTTTCACAGTGCTCCACTTTTTACTCCTAGGAAGGTGGAAACACTGCTTCTCATTCTTTTTCCTCAAGCTATATGTATGCTACCACACTTCTACACGATAACGTCAACGAGTGCATTGCAAAAGGGCCTGCATGATTGGGATTCTGCTGGCATCGCCAACTTCTCCTCTAATGCCCCACCAGACTGCTCTCCCAGTTCCTAAGAGTCAATTGTTTTTCTAGTTTTCTACTTTGACATGCTGTTCACTTTGCTTGGAGGTCCTTCTCCCACTTTTTGCGTAATTAAACTATTTGCCCCCAGCTTTTCCCTTTAAAGACATTTACCACTGTGGTTATGTAGAAGGGCATTGTTGTTAAGTGCTTTCGAGTCGGCTTTGAAGTTTCCAAGGAGCCGCGGGTGAATGTGAACCGCTGACCTTGCGTCCAGTGCATTATCCTGCAGCGCCACAACAGGATTTCTCAGTAGAGTCTAGTTCCATCTTGCGTTGTGCCTGGCTGTGTCAGACATAAGACTCATGGAGAATGGGAATGAAAACAAGACTTGGGGCGAGCCTTTGGGATTCTCAGGCCACCCAGGAAAATAAATTGCTCACGCTATCCGAAGATGTAGTTATAGCATAATTCTTTCTTTGGGGCATTTGCTGCCGCGGCGATATTTCCGATTTTACGGTGAAGATAGGTAAGGGTCCTACGGGCAGCAGCCGAGGCAGCCGGGAGCTGTCATTGGGGTCAGATCATGTGACTTTCAATATGGCGAAACCCTTTGCTCACTCCAGGAAGGGGCGGAGCCTGGGCGGGGACATACTTAGATTCTGGTTAACGTGGGGACTGTGCTGATATTTACAGACGGCTTACCATGGAGGCGAAAGAGTTGGGGTGAGTTTTCCGTAGTACCGGGTATGACCGGCCGCTCTTCTGAACTGAATATCTGAACTCATGTGTCTGTCTCTTGACCCTCTCTCTCTGGAGAGCTCTCAAATCCCGATCCTCCCATCTCAGGAACTTTCATTTCAGGAACGGCTTAGCTGGACTGTGTCTCCTAGACCTTCATTTACGAGATGTCCCCAGGACTTCCTAATCCTCAGCTAGACCCCTATTTCGGGGTCCTCAGCTATGATTTCCGCCTTGAAAATAACAGCCGGTGTGTGTGTGTCTGTCGGTGTCTCTCAGTCCCAGAGCCAGCCTACTGGGACCCCTGTCCCTGAGATTCTCTGATCCAGATACCCTCAAACTATGTAGGCTTTTGTCCCCCTTTCCTCTCTCTCCTCTAGTTATTTTAACCTTAGTGGAGATGAGTCTGTGTACTGGGAAGAGGCCCCAGCACGGGTCCTTCTGTAGTCCTGTGCACCACCTGATAGGCAGAGGAGTTGGAATAGGCGGGGACCTGCAGGCTTGGTAGCTGGCCTGCTGGAGGCAGATAGCGGTCCAGAGGAATCCGTCTAAGAACCCGCAGTTTCTCCGGCCTTCCCCTTATCCCAGCCTAGCATTGCATACTGACTCCTCTCCTTCCTTTGCCTGCACACCAGACCTCAGGGTTTTCCAGAGCTGAAGAATGACACGTTTCTGCGAGCAGCCTGGGGACAAGAAACAGATTATACTCCGGTTTGGTGCATGCGGCAGGCAGGCCGCTACTTACCAGGTCAGGGTCAGGGCCCGGGAATCTAGGTAAAAAACTGTAGAATGAAAAGTTTTTGAGTATCGGGAGGTTCTGGAGGGTCTCAAGGCCTAGTCCAGCCTTCTTTCTCCTGCTTGTAGAGTTTAGGGAAACTCGGGCTGCCCAGGACTTTTTCAGCACCTGTCGGTCCCCCGAAACCTGCTGTGAACTGACTCTGCAGGTGAGTGGTCTACAAATAAGGGAGGGATTTCTTCCCTCAGTTTGCCACTTAGCAACCTAACTCCTATTCCCCATAGCCACTGCGCCGATTCCCTTTGGATGCTGCCATTATCTTCTCCGACATCCTTGTTGTACCTCAGGTACCAGCCCAAACCTGATTGTAGAATAGGTTGGGGGGAAAGGGGGGGCGTGTGGGGAGATACTTTGGTAACCCTTCTATCAGTGTAATCAGGGTTCGAGATAAGCACATATCCTCACTGAACAGAAGGGGAAAATTAAGGCTGAATGATAAGGAGGCCTCACATCTCTTTCTGGTGTAGTCTGGACAGAATCTTTCCTCTTGAAATTTCAGGTTGAGAACCCAGATGTTTTCTCCCCCTCCAGGCATTGGGCATGGAGGTGACCATGGTGCCTGGTAAAGGACCCAGCTTCCCAAAGCCATTAAGGGAAGAACAGGACCTGGAGCATCTACGAGCACCAAAAGCAGCAGCTTCTGAGCTGAACTATGTGTTCCATGCCATCACCCTCACCCGACAGCAACTGGATGGGCGTGTGCCACTGATTGGCTTTGCTGGTGCCCCGGTAATGTAGAACAGAGCCGGGGCTCAGGCATGGGGATGTCCATTATAGACACGAAAGGGAAGAAGTGTCATTCTGGCTTCTGCACCTGTGACATCTTTTTTGTATTCTTCAGTGGACCCTGATGACGTACATGGTTGAGGGTGGCAGCTCAAGCACCATGGCTCAGGCTAAGCGCTGGCTCTACCAGAGACCTCAGGCTAGTCATCAACTGCTTGGCATTCTCACTGATACTCTGGTGCCATATCTAGTGGGACAAGTGGCTGCTGGTGCCCAGGTGAGTCTTGCCAGGGATATCTGTTAAGGACTGAGAAGGCAGGGGTCTTAATACTAGGCATAAAGGGATCTTGGCCTCTGATGATTTAATCTATATTCCACTTCCTCCCTAGACACAAAGCCCTGTCAGTTTGGCTGGAGCAGCCAAGCCCACCCTGACATTGGCAAGGAAAGTTGATGCTCTGTGTGTTTGAAGACCCGAGCTGGTGCTTGGCAAAACATTCTGACTAGACCTGGGCTTATAGGCTTAGGCATTATCAGAGGATGAGATCATGTGAGGAAAACAGACACATCCTGGATTATTTCTCCGTGTATTATGTATTTTTCCTAACTACCCCAATTATAGGCATTACAGCTCTTTGAGTCTCATGCAGGGCATCTTGGCCCAGAGCTCTTCACCAAGTTTGCACTACCCTATATCCGTGATGTGGCCAAGCGGGTGAAGGCAGGACTGCAGGAGGCAGGCCTGGCTCCAGTGCCCATGGTGAGGATGTGGGTATGGGTGAGTGAAGGTGGACCCGGGGAGCTTTCTGGTTAAAGCGTGCATGCATGAAATGACCACTAGAGGGCAGCAGAGATGCATCTGAGAAAGGTTAGTGGGTATGGCAAGGCCCTCTAGCCTCAGAGAGCTATCCTTTTTCCTCAGATCATCTTTGCCAAGGATGGGCATTTTGCCCTGGAAGAGTTGGCCCAGGCTGGCTACGAGGTGGTTGGGCTTGATTGGACACTGGCCCCAGATAAAGCCCGGTGAGTGAAGTAGAGTTGGACCCTTGAGATTGAGGTGGAAATGGGACAGCTACCGTATGTACAGTTGGCAGAACTTTGCACTGGCTCTGCTTTCAGGAAGCGTGTGGGAAAGACCGTGACTTTGCAGGGCAACCTGGACCCCTGTGCTCTGTATGCATCTGAGGTAACAACCAGGCTATCTATGTGTGTCTATGAGTTTGTGTCTGTATGTACACAGAGACATGGTTATGTGAATTACTGAATGTGTTTGTTTTATTGTATCAGCTTGTCCTTTCCCATCCCCTCTCTGCCCCATATAATGTTAAGTTCTATGAGGGCAAGGATTTTTTTGTTCATTTGTTTTTATTAATGCCTGGCCCATAATGCCTGTTGCTCCCCCGAGACCTGTTTTAAACTGACTGCATCACAGCCATTAATTCAGTCATTATTTTATGGAATAAATAATTGAGTGAATAGCAAAGTAGAAGCATGCCTATGTATGTGTATGTGTATGAGGACAGAGGCCTGCTGGTCCCCACCCTAATCCCTGTAGCCGTACTCTCTCATTGGGCCTCCAGGAGGAGATCAAGCGGCTAGTGAAGCAGATGCTGGATGACTTTGGGCCACAGCGCTACATTGCCAACCTGGGCCATGGGCTTTACCCTGACATGGACCCAGAACATGTGGGGGCCTTTGTGGATGCTGTGCACAAGCACTCACGTCTGCTTCGAAAGAACTAAGCATACACTTGCTCTTCCAAGTACCACCAGCATTGATGATTGTTTCCAGAAGAATAAAAGTCCCAGCCTTGGAACTATGTGGCCTTGTTGGTGATGGATTTGTGCCCTAATCCTAATTTCTGTTTAGTATTTGCTTCTTCCCTGATGCTTCTCTCTGTACCTCCTCCCTCAAGCCATGGGGACTCAGGTGTCAGTGAATATGTGCTGCAGGAATTAATATTTCATTGCCATCTTGGTCCTAGTCATCCAAACCCCAGAGCTACATGGGGCTGGGTTGAGCTTCCTGAAAGCTGGGACAGTTACAGAGAAAGGGGTAGGGTCCCCACTGCATACAAAGGCCAAACTTGACAGGGCTTTGTGTCTGGGGAGGAAGTGGAATATAGATTAAAGGAGGCACAGAAATAGCTAGAACACTATAGAAGAACTGGGTGATCAGGGAGAAGCTGAGGGGCCTTGTGTTTTGACACCAAAAGATGGGAAAGATATCAAATTCAGAGCTAGGGTCAGGCTTGGTCATGCCCCAGATTAGGCCATCACCAAGAGGAAAAGGCCTCCCAAACCAGAAGCCCCTCTGGCATACGGGTTGTTCTGCATTCTCTTCAGAGCAGAACATTCTCGGAATCTTGCTGTTTCTTCTCATAGTGGCACTTACTTATTTTACGGGATAAGGCTCTGAGATGTCTGTGAGAACTGAAAAGACGTTTGGTCTGGCAGAAAGTTCATCATCTGTCATACCATGTCTCTTCAGACCACCAGGGACCCTCTGTGTTATAAGTCCAACCAGCAACCTGTCCCAGCAAAGCAATGTGGTGGGGAGAGAAGGGCCTTATTTATTGAGAGAATGCAACTTGTGCTTTTAGAGAAATGATCTTTTCTGTGATTCATGATTTATTCATAGGAAAGCACTGTGAGTTCACACATTTGCTAAAAAAAAAAGGTAAAGGTAATTGTGATACAGAAATGGGAGCGGCTTTTCTCTCTTTATTTTTTAACCAACCCATTGGGCTGAAAGGTTTCAGGGGCCCTTGGCTGGACAGTAAGACTTCAGTAGCCACAAACAGTAAATACAACTTATTGGTCAGTTTGGAACAAAGAAAGGTGATACAAACAGTTTGTCAAAGAAAGGAAAATTAAGTAGACAGGGAGGCCCTCAGTTCACACTCTAGCTATACCACCCCTTCCCTCTAACATCCCACCCCTACTCAGAAACTAAGACATGAAACAGGAAACAAGACACTGGCATCCAAAGGACTCTTCTGAATGTCCCTTGCTACCTCCTATAGAAATTCCACACTGAGAATAGGGGGCAGGCAGGTAGAAGGAACTGGAGGTCAGCCAGAGCTAAGAAATTAAGAAGGGCAAGGCCAGATGCATTCTAGCCCTAGCCTCCAAATCAGTGACCAGGGGGACTGTGACAAAAACAGGCAGAGGAAGCTTGAGGTAGAAAGGTAGGGGAAGAAAGCAAATAATGGATGGAGAAGAGAGCTGTGGGGCTCAAGCAGTTTTAGGGCAGAGAGAACGGTTCTCAGAAGCTTCGGCAGGAGAGAATGGTAAATAGAGGAGGCACACAGATAGGGGACATGTTTAATCTGGTAAGACAGAAAGGAATGAGGAAAAGAGATCTGGCAAAGAGTAGACACACATTCATGCAGATTCTCAAAGTACGCAGGCATACCTCCATGTAGAAATATAAAAACAGGTCCATGAATAGCAAGCATACACACAAACACAAGCATGTTTATACATGTGTGTGCCCAGACATACACACACTAAACATACATACACACGAATGCACGTACAGATTCACACATGTATGCAAATGTGTACCCCTTCCACGCAGACCTTCCATCTACAGACCAGCACACATGTATCCAGACATGTATACATATATGTGAACATACAGACAGGCATGCATAGATAGATCTATGCACACGGACACATGTATTTAGCCACACTGATGGATATACACACACATATATATATAATTAGAGATGAAACAAGACATTAACCTAACGGTGACCAGAGTAGATGTCCGAGTATATTATGGACTCAATGGTTCCCAGACGCCAGACCCTCATCTTCACCCTGAATTTGTTTCTGAGGAGCTCAGCAGGTTCCTGAGAGGCTGTGTAAGGCCGAGCTGGAACAAGAGCTTCAGTGTGGCCTCAGAGCTTCATGAGGCAAAAGTCTAAGTCCTAGCCCCTGCTCCTCACTCACATCTGAGCCACTGATGGCCTGCAGCCTGAGGTTTCTGCATAGACTAGATGAGAATTGTTCCAACTGGCCATTTCCCTCCCCACTGCTTGCCCCCGACTCTTCCACTGCCAACAGTATATACTACACTGCAAGGGAAACCTGAGAAGTGGCTGTGAGTTTCCTCAGAAAACAAAAGACCTCCTTTCAACCAGTCTATCCTCCCACCCACAACTACTTTAAGTGCCCATCAAATTAGAACAGAATTATAAATAGTTACAACTTTACAATGTGGTTGGCAACACATACAGTATTTACAGTGCCATAATGCTTCTGTTCTCTGGTTAAGCGATCCCTGAGACTGAACAGTGTTCTGTGTTTGCCAAGGGAGAGAGGGCCATAGCCCAGGAGACATAGGATATAGGGGTGAGGTGGCATGTTGTGGGGTTTCCATCTATCTGCAGGGCCCAGCTCCTCCAGAACAGCGGACTGTCGTGAGAACCCTGCCAAGGCAGGTCTAATGACTAGAGTTGGACTCTCTCCATCCTAAGCCCTGTGGTCCTTTGGTTTCAGCCACAGGTGTTCTACAAGGGGCACAGGTTTTTCAATGTCCTTGGCTTGACCTCATGGAACACAGAAGCCCAGCCTGTCCTGGTGGTGTCTGCTTTCTCAGCCAAAGCGCTCTCGCACCAGCAGCATCAGCTTCTTCTTGCCTTTGTAGATCTGTTTGAGGTTGTCAATGAACTGGGCAAACTGCAGGTGGCCATCCTGGGGCAGAAGGAAAGTCTCCCGGGCCTTGCTCAGAAACTCAATGAACTCTCCGTAGTGGCGGGGGCTGATGTGTGTCAGGCGTGAGTGGGTGGTGTTGATATAGGCGTTGATGGTGGCATCCAGCAGCTGACGCAGTGGAGCTTTGTCGGTGGACATGAGTTTTCCAGAGCTGCGGCGGCCTGGGATGCCTGCCAGGCCAGGTGCAGTCACCGTACAGCGCCGCAGGATGTCAGAAAGCACCGTGGCGCAGTGCACGCTCTTCACCACCAGGGGGAGAAGAGCCGCCAGCTCATTCTTTCCCAGAGAGTGGCTGAGGGCGCATGCCCAGAGCACATCATTGATGGCTGGATGGGTGTCCTGGTTATAGGCCAGGTTGAGATGACTCATGGCCAGTGAGGCTAGCTTGAAGGCACGTAGCGGGTAGCCACGGAGCTCCATGTAGCGAGCGATGGTGAACAGCTGTGAATGGGTCATGCCACCAGCAGCAGCATCAATGGCAATCTGGTAGGCTGCCTCAAAGGCGATGTGGTCTTTCTCACAGAGCGTAAGGGCCGACAGGGCACAACTCTGTGGATCCTTCATAGCACACTGCAGGGCCAGAGTGCGAGCGCAGCTAGCCAGCTCCTCCCTCTGGGGATAGTCGAGACTAAGGCGCAGGATAGTGGTGTGGGACACGGCTGTGGCAGCAACAATACTAGTAGCCTCCGTGGGGGTGAAGAGTGTGTACCAGCTCTGCAAGATGCTCACCAGGGCCCGCACACCTGTCAGAGATAGCCTGAGCTCAGCCGTGGCCATCTGGGTCCCGATCCAGGTCTGCCCAGATTACCATTTGGGGTCAGAACTTGGCCTGCAGAGATGAGTTCTCCCTCCTCATAGGCAATCTTGAGATAATCTGAGGCAAACCAGGGCAAGGGGAGCATCCCGGATGGCCAGACTCTGTTTGGGGTTTCTTCCCACTTCCTCCTTCCCCAGATGAGAAGGTTGAAGGTGCTCTTAGCTCCTCACAAGGATGGAGCAGCAAAGCCTGTGACTTGCCTGCAGTTAAGTAAAGCAGGGGTCCCAGGTTTGCCTGGGAGTTCTAGCTGAAGCAAGGTAGAGTCTAAAAGAAGTCAACCTCCAAGTTGTTTGGGGTGTCTCAGAAGCATGCACGGAAAAGGGCTGGGACCAAACCACTGGGCCAACCAGCTCCCAAAGGAGCACTTTGAGTACTGGTGACTGAAAATTCATTCTTTCAGTCAAAGTGCTGCTGACATCAGGGAATGGTCCAAGCAGTGGGCAGAGCTTGGGCTGGCTGAACAGAGGCTGTCTTCTCCTCCTACCAACAACCTCATCCTTTCCTAGATAGACCATCAGTTCTATCTAGGAAAGGGACGATGAGAGTTCTAAGGATTCATTGGCCTCTCTCAAGAGTAGGGCCTAGAAACTCCTTTCCCCTGGGGGTAGAGGGAGGTGGAAACTCACCCACTTCTGTCGCACATGTCACCAACCACCGCACCATCTCCCGGCGCCTCCAGTTAAGAGTTGATAAGGTCATCCGCATCACCTGGACACAAAAGAATATTTCCAGGGGGCTGAGCCTAACTGTTGTAACCCCCCCGCCCCCCCACATCCCCTAGTCAATTCACTTATTCAACAAATAACTTGGTGCTTTGAACAGCTGTTTCTCACTTGATAAGTAGACAGGTCTGTTTAATCTCTGACCCATCCCTCCCACCACCAGATAGGAGGCTTCTCTGACGAACTTGTAACAAATAAGAGTACATATTACCACATCTTGTGTGACTTGGAGGAATGAGGGCTAGGGAGGAGAGAATGGGACACCATGGAGCCTAAAACAACACTGCTTCAGGTCTTAATGTTAAAATGGAGCCCAATTTATGGAGTCCTTTTTAGGGACCACCCTAGAACTTGTGTTCTGAGGACACAGAAAGAATAAGACTTGCTTGTGCCCAGCCCCATGAGATGTCATCTCTTGTCAAGTGTCACTTTGTCAGAGGGCTAAAGCAGGGATGGCCCACTTTCCCCCGATACCTGTAACCCCAGCTCCAGGGCCACGTTGAGCAGGGTGCTGTCCGTACTACTGTCTGTGGGAGTAGCTATCTTGAATGCATCTTGAGCCAATTTGAAGATGAGAGAGGAAGAATGAATGTGTTTCTGTATTGCCTCCAGGATTGTTCGGAGTCTCAGCGTGTCCCCTGTAGATGCAGAGAGAAGGAGCAGGGGCTGAGTCTGCTTTAAAGCTGCCTTGAACAGCCAGGTGATCATTACAGGGACTGACTAAACTGGCTGTCAATTGACGGAATGCTTCTGAATGCTACCATCCCTTCTGGGTGGTCAATTCTATTGCTAAGGAATCCACTGGTAGGTCCTTTGCTTCCCAGACACCCACATGAATTCACTGCTCTTCACTTTTTGATTTGCCTCAACCCCTCACTCTCTATACCTTCAAGGCCTTTTTTTTTTAATGCTTTATTGTGAATTATGTGATAGTTTACATGGGAGGACATCTGCTTCACATTGATCCCGTCGTATATCGTTTTCTTGCCATGGTTACAATCCCTTCCATGTATCATCGATCAACCAATGGGTATACCCCGCAAGCCTGACCCCCTGTCGTCCACACACTGCCCCTCTCTCTCTCCAGATCCAAAGTCTCCAGCCGCTCCACTTCAGGGCTCTTTTGTTATTGTTGTGATGTCCAGTCGGTTCTGACTCACAGTGACCCTGTATAGGGTTTCCGAGGCTGTAAATCTTTGCAGAAGCAGAAAGCCTCAACTTTCTCCAGGGGAACACATGGTGGGCTTGAACCACCAACCTAAGTGTCCCACAGAGCTGCTGCACTTAGGTCCCAGAAATAATTTTCTTGAACACATGAATTTTGAAAGCTACTTATACAGGAGACAGGAAGCTACATTTTTTGCCAAAAAAAAAAAAAGACTTGTCATTCCCATTGTTCCCTAGAGCAAAGAGGAGATGGGCTAGCTCTTCTAATTCAACAGGCAAGGATTCTAGACAAAGAACTAACAGAGTCAAGGAAGATTCCACAGAAAAGGCATGAAGTGAAGGTTGCTGTATGAAGGCAGTATAGCGTATGAAAGATTGGAATACCTTATTAACTGTTGTTGTTAAGTGCCGTAGAGTTGGTTCTGACTTATAGTGATCCTGTGTAGGGTTTTCAAGGAGTGGCTTGTGAACTTGAACTGTCAACCTTGCAGGTAACAGTCCAGTGTTTATTCTGCAATGCCACACCAGGACTCCTTATTAAGGGTAGGATAAACACTGGACTCAATGGTAAACAATAAACACTAACTGCAAGGTCATTGGTTCCAACCTACCAGTTGCTCCTTGGAAACCCTATATAGGGCCACTGTGAGTCAGAACCAACTCAATGGCACTTACAACAACAACAATGTGAAATAAAGATAGAACAAAAAATAGGTGTGGTGGTAGGAGTAAAGGCTTTAGAGTAAAATACATTGGAATTGAACCAGTATAACCATCAGCTATTTACTGCTCAGTTACTTCTATAAAATGGGAAGAATAACCTTGAGGAGTATTGTGAGAATTATAAACAATTTGTGTATAGTAAATATTCTGATTCAATTTTTTACAATGATGATAGCTCTTTATTATATATATGTATAGTGTTTGTGTATATGAATCTTGTTGTTAAGTGCCACTGAGTCTGTTCTGAACCACAGTGACCTTGTATAGGGTTTCCAAGGAGTAGTTGGTGGGTTTGAACCACCAACCTTATGGTTAACAGTCCATACATTTGTATTCTTTCACCACACTTATTCAACCTGTATGCTGAGCCAATACTCTGAGAAGCTGGGTTATATGAAGAAAAATATGGCATCAAGATTGAAGGAAGACTCATTAAACACCTGTGATATATAGATGATACACCCTTGCTTGCTGAAAGCCAAAAGGACTTAAAATACTTACTCATGAAGATCAAAGACCATAGCCTTCAGTATGGATTGCATCTCAATGTAAAGAAAACAAAAGTTCTCACCACTGGACCAATAAACAACATTCTTATTGATGGAGAAAAGATTGAAGTTGTCAAGGACTTCATTTTTCTTGGATCAACCATCAACACTCATGGAAGCAGCAGTCAAGAAATCAAACAAAGTATTGCATTAGGCAAATATGCTGCACAAGACCTTTTAAAAATGTTGAAGAGCAAAGATGTCAGCTTGATGACTAAGGTGCGCCTGACCCAAGCCACGGTGTTTTCAGTAACCTCCTATGCATGTGAAAGTTGGACAGTGAATAAGGAAGATAAAAGAAGAAATGATGCTTTTGAGTTATGGTGTTGAAGGAAAATACTGAAAGTGTCATGGGCTGCCTAAAGAACAAACAGATCTGTGTTGGAAGAAGTGCAGCCAGAGTGCTCCTTGGAGGCTGGGATGGCCAGACTTCATCTCTCATACTTTGGACATATTGTCAGGAGGGACCAGTCACTGGAGAAGGATAACATGTTTAGTAGGGTGGAGGGTCAGAGAAAAAGAGGAAGACCCTCAGCAAGATGGATTGGCAAAGTGGCAGAATCGATGGACTCAAGCATGGCACAATTGTGAGGTTGGCCCAGGACAGGGCAGTGTTTTGTTCTGCTGTGCACAGTGTTGCTTTGAGTCGGTACTGACTCAATGGCACCTAACAGCAACAATCCCTCAGAAGTGAACTGCCTATTCCTTCTTCCTAGTCTGCCTTAAGCTGGAAGATCTGCTGAAACCTGTCCTCTATGGGTGACCCTCTGATGTTTGAAACTAGTGACATAGCTTCAATTATCATAAGCAATATGCAAGCCATCACAGTATGACAAACCGACAGACTTATGGGGATAAATGAAATAGTGTGATAAATATAGACCCCCAAATACTTGGTACTGTGTATTTCTAGGGAAAGGACTCAATAAAACTACAAACTAAGCTAAATATTTGTTGTACATATATATGCAATTTATATTTGTTACAATGGTTGCTTGAGGATCTTGGACAAATGGCTTTATCAATATTGCTATTATTTTCACCAAAGATTAGAGTTGGACATTTAATGATGGGCCATATACAAGATTCTCTAGTGATGAATCAGTACTTTAAAAAAGGACTAATTTTAGTGCCATGTGCCTCATTAATATGAGTATTTATATAACCAGTCTTTTAAATGTGTAACATTTAACATTGGCCAAAATTTTTTCTCATTGAAAAATTTATGTTATTTAATGCCAGTTATTACAAATTTTTCCATATGTCTATGGATAATTTTTCCATCTGTTACATCTCATCATCATTATCATACAAGTCTTATGCTTAAATGACTGTTAAATGTTCATATAATTAACTGGGGAAGAACTGTCTCCTCAAAGGAGAGTAGACCATGATGACGCAAATGGAGTAAAGCTTTCGGGACCTTCATTTGCTGATGGGATACAACTCAAAATGAAGAGAAACAGTGCAAACATTCATTAATAGTTGGAACATGGGGTGTAAGAAGTATAAATCTAGGAAAATTGTAAGTTGTCAAAAATGAAATGGAATGCATAAAGATTGATATCTTAAGCATTGGTGGTGGTGGTTATATGCCATGGACTTGGTTCCAAATCACAGTGACTCCATATAGGGTTTCCAAGGCTGTAAATCTTTACAGGAGCAGAATGCCTCATCTTTCTTCCATGGAACTGCTAGCTGTTTTGAACTTCTGACCATGAGATTAGCAATCCAATTCATAACCACTATGTATCAGAGCTGAAATCAACTAGAATCTGACAATCATTTGGTACAGGAGCAACAAATTCAAGAGAAATAGTGTAGCATTTATCATCAAAAGGACTATTTCACGATCCATCTTGAAGTACAATGTCATCCATGGTAAGATAATATCCATATGCCTACTACAGTGAAAACCAGTTAATACCATTATTATTCATGTTTATGCAACAACCACTAAAGCCAGTGATAATGAAACAGAAGAATTCTAACCAGCTTCTTCAGTCTGAAATTGATAAAATATGCAATTGAGATGGATTGAAAATTACTGGTAATTTGAGTGTGAAGGTTGGAGACAAAGAGAAAGGGTGGACAGTTGGAAAATATGGCCGTGGTGATAGAAAAAATATTGGAGATTGCATGATAGAAGTTTGCAACACCAATGACTTTTCATTGCAAATATCTTTTTAAAATGTCGTAAGATGTGACTATATACATGGATTTCATCAGATGGAATACACAGGAATCAAATTGACTACATCTGTGGGAATAGACAGTGGGTAAACTCAATATCATCAGTCCCAACAAGGTCAAGGGCTGATTGTGAAATTGTCAATTGCTTATATGCAAGTTCAGGGTGAAGCTGAAGAAAGTTAAAACAAGGACACAAGAGCCAAAATAAGATCGTGAACACATCCCACCTGAATTTAGAGACCATCTCATGAGAAGATTTGATGCGTTAGACATTAAAGACCAGAAGAACTGTGGAACGAAAACAAGAACATCATATGGGAAGAAAGCAAAAAGTCATTAAAAAAGACACGAATGAGAGAAAAGATCAAAATAGATGTCAGAAGAGGCTCTAAAACTGGCTCTCCAGTGTAGAGATGCTAAAATGAATGGCAGAAATGAGGAAGTAAAAGAGCTGAACAGAAAATTTCAAAGGGCACCTTGCGAAGACAAAGTCAGGTATTATAATGAAATGTGAAAAGACCTGGAGTTAGAAAACCAAAAGGAAAGAACACACTCAGCATTTCTCAAGCTGAAAGAACTGAAGAAAAAATTCAAGCCCCAACTTGAAATAATGAAGGAATCTATGGACAAAATATTGAATAATGCAGAAAGTATCGAAAGAAGAAGAAAGATATACACAAAGTCACTGTATCAAAAAGAAATGGTCAATGTTCAACCATTTCAAGAGGTATCATATAATCAAGAACTGATGGGACTGAAGGAAGAAGTCCAAGCTGCACTGAAGTCATTGGCAAAAAACAAAGTTTCAGGAATTGAGGGAATACCAATTGAAAAATTTCAACAAACTGGTGTGGTACTGGAGGGACTCCCTCATCTATGACAAGAAATTTTGGAGGACAGGTACCTGGTCAATTGATTAGAGAGTGATGACTCTGGAATGTGGAATGTAGAAATCACTGAACGATACCATTAATATAACATGCAAGTAAAATTTTGCTGAAGATAAT